GCAGATTAAAATCAGTCTAGCATCCTTTTTTGTTTCTTGGTGTTGAGGATCTGCTCCAAGGACCTTGTTCATATGTAGACAAATACTCTATGTTTGCACCTGTGTACTTTGTGTCACTTTAATATTTTATGATAATATCTTAGAAAATCCAAAGATTCAAGAGCTCTATATGATCACAGGATACAAATACATAAACAAAGCTCTGGCTCCTACAAGTTAGCAATGAGCAACTGAGCATTTAAATTTTAATAGACCATACTACATGTAAGAGCACAGAGAGGTGTGTCCATAAAAAATACACACAGAATCTTATCCTTAGAACTAAGAGTCTTTGATGAAGACAAGTACTGCCATATGTTCTATTGGGCTTGCAATGAATTTTTAGACAATTAAGTTGAGAGACATTGTACTCATCAATGTGACTTAACACTAAGCAATTGGATACTGATTCCACATAGAAGAGAAGCAAGAATTCTAGGAAACAAAGGAACACACAATAAAAAGAGAAACAAAATTGGGATTTATTTAGAACTTCTTGTAGCAGCATGACCAGAAACTATCAGTTAGTTATTTGTGACAGATATTTGAAGGCAGAATGGAAGGTGAAAATGGGGAGGGCTACATAGATCCTCTGATAAAGACTGTTGTTTTAGGGTGGGTAGAAGTGAGAAGTGAAGACAGCCAGGCAGTGGTGACACATGTTTTTAATCTCAGCACTCTGGAGTTAGAGGCAAGGGGATTTCTGAGCCTGGTCTACAGAGTTCTAGGACAATAAAGGCTACACAGATAAACCCTGTTTTGAAAAACCAAGAAAAAGTGGAGTGGGGAGGAGGAGGAGGGGGAGGAGAAGGAGGAGGAGGAGGAGGAGGAGGACGGGGAGGATGAGAAGCTGTCTGTGTAATTAATTTAATTTAGGGAGCACACACTTGGCACCTGTCTTTCTTTTATTAATCCTATGGCAGAAGTGGGTCAATAAATGGAGAGATGAATAGTGATTACCAAGGTCTTATTTGGGGCTCAGGGGCAGCAGTGGTGAACTGAGTTTCTGGACTGGTTGCTATAGACTTTGTGAGTTGAAATTACATTGTCATGTATGGTCTGCCTGCTGTCAGTTTGTATATCCAGACTCTCAGATAACATCCTTAAAGGAAACAGTGGGAAAAGATTTATCTAACAATCCTCAGCTAATTGAAGAAAGAGAGCACAAAGCAATGCATATGGACAAATGGAGGAGCTCATGGTCTGTCTTGAGGGATTATAAGTAAATTCTACATACAGAAAGCATGATATAGCTGTGACTTGACACAACACTTGCATTATAAAAATTTAATTTACTTGCTATTTTCTTAGTGCAAAATATGCATATTGTTCCATTTGCTTTTTGTTTGTACTCACTCTGAGATTAAGATTACTTCCAAGGATGTCTATGTTCTATTTTTATTGTCTATCCCCTTCCTGCTGTGGATAATGCTGCAAATTCTAACAACACCTGAATTCATAAAATTTCCTGACTTCTTCATGTACAGGGATTATTTAGTTCACACAAAGCAACTTCAGTTGTCATATTAGAAAAGAACCATAAAATGTCCATTAGGTTCTCTGAACCTTCAGCTTTCAGAATTAGATGGAGAGTGATCAGTTCTATTTTATGATATCAAAACCACAGTATGAGTCTAAATTATGTGCTGCTCTGTGCAATAGGCAGAGGACAGTTTTGAAAGCTGCTGGTTCTAAGGATTATTTATGGTGAAAAGGTTGGATGCTCATTATTTGAGGAGTTTGATCCTTACTGTTGCTTCTTTTCTTCAGTTTTTGAGATCCATTTTCTTTATTTTTTTATTCCTATATTTCCCTTTGACTTTTAGAAAACAGTACCCTTCAATTTTTTTCATGCCTCTGCGATGTGTTTTATGTGTGAGCTAAGTGAAACAGTAATATGTCACCCATTTTAAAAGGGAGAAAAATTGTGTCTCAGAGTATTAGGAAATTTCAATGAATCTCAAAATCTTAGTTTTTAATTTGTCTTCTGGGTAAGGCTCATGTTATTCCAAGATTGGTTTCAAGTTATACCTTGCCTGTTGTAGTTTTGGAAACTATCACCTTCTCTGCCATCTTTAAATGTACATAATATTAAGTTCATGCTCCTAATTTTCATTTAGGTTTATGTAATTCTACATCTATGCTAAAGTGACTCTCTGCATACTGAGTCACAGTATCTCAACCTATGTTTCAGGAGCAGACTCTGTTGTTCAGATCTTTCTCACAAAACAATGGAGCTTATTGGCTCAGAGTTAAGTTGATAGCTCCATGTCTGAGATGACAAGAACTGACTCTTTTAGGACTTGCTATGGAAGTTAAAACAATAGTAGAATCTCATATCAGGCCAAGAAAATTGGTGGTATCCTCACTGCAATAATTTGCTTAAGTACACATAACACAACAGCTATGTATTCGATGAGTCCCTAGAATCCTTCCTAGAGAGACAGAACCATCATTATGGGAATGTTGGTAGTGGCACATGAAAGTATAGAAGTATCTCACCACTGTATTCCAGCACTCATCTCTTATTATTGGTCATTTCTGATGAAATCTACTCTCATCACCCATGTTAATACGTTCTAACAGATGTTTCTTCCAATAGGGGCCTTACTATTTTATAACTGTACTGTAAGTATAACAATCTCTTCAATCTCCCAGCTCTTTATGTCTTCTTCTTCAGGAAACATTCCACCCCATCAGTTTTTCCTCTTCTCTCTCTCTCTCTCTCTCTCTCTCTCTCTCTCCCTCTATCCCGTCTATTCCCTCTCTCCCTGATTTTATTCACTCTTGGTTTTAAAACTCTTTTAACAATTCTCTGGAGTAACAAAAAGAAAACAGGTTTCAGTTCACTTTCATCAGAAAGCCAGTGTCTTCCTGTAGTGATTTCATTGCTTAGTATTCAATCAGTTTACCCTTGATAACATTTAGTCTTATTTTAAGAATCATGCAAGGGGTTGTGATTATGGATCATTGGTAAAATACTTGCCCAGAATTCGGAATATCCTTGATTTAACTCTATAAGAAAAAGAAATACTGATAAGAACTACCCATTCTGATAAACAGGATTGAACCTTCCTACTGACAGATTAATATCTTGTCCATTGTATTTAAAGTAAACCTAGGAAGATTCTTAAGTTGGAGAAAAGTAGGCAAACAAGATTTGTACATTGGTTTCTGAGACATAGCACAGCATAAAATGCTGTGGGTTTAGTTTATGTATCCTCTGGTTGGGACAGGATGCATGGTTAGTCTGAAATTTTTAAAAATACTTATATTTAAAAATCACCAAAAAACATGCCATTTCTATAATAAAACCAGTAAGGTAATAGCTTAGGTTGACAAATGTTTAGTCAATCACAGCTTTACTGCAAGTTACCTATGGTCCTGGCTCCACTCTGGCCACCAAAGCATGGAAGGGGAATCTAAACATCAGTCTTTACAAGGTTTAATTCCGACACTCTAGACACTACATAGAGACAGTATTAAATGATGAGTGCAGACTTCCACTCCAGTCTAAAGGGAAGACCCTTTGCCATGGTGTCATTGGAGTACACATGGGCATTCTACTTCATCCCCTTTTTGAAGAAATAATCACTTTTCTCCTCCTCATCAGGATGACAGCAGTGGCGGCCTAATAGGGATTTAGTGCTTTTACCACAATCCAGCTCCCTTTGGAGTGTAGGGTCAACAGAAGCATAGGGAGTGATGATAAGTATCTGACTTACTCAAAGAGCTTTTGGTCCAGCAAGAAGAGAATGACTCCTTATCTATTGTGAGTGAACAATTCTATTGATGAAGATTTCCCTCCTGGAACCACATTCTTCATGTTCTGAAAGAAAGCAGGAACAAAATGCTTGCCTACAACAATAACAACAACAAACAACAAACCATATGTTTCAAGAATGAAATTGGAATTTAAACATTCTCAATTGAAGACATAGCCTTTCCCTCTTCCTTAAGTTTTAAGGCTGTTATGTCATTTTTAAAAAGAGGTTATGGAAACGTAAGGGAATGTAAGTAAATGTAAGAATCTGTGTTTCATTTCCACTGTCACAATAATGACATTGTATTAGAGAAATATTTTCTACTACACCCACCATGGAAAGCTTATATACAAAAAGAAATCAGGAAAACCACTGCAGAAAAATAAAATATACTGCTATTAATGATACAAGCAACACACAGGAGGTCATGAAAATCAATGAGAGCAGAGACTCTACAGAGAAGGCTGCTAAAGACAGCTCAGTAGATAATGTGATTGTTTTGTGAGCACCAGGCAGGATGCAATTTCATGAACCCACACATTTGAAAGAAAGCTGAGTGTGGTGACCCATGCTTGGAATAGGTATCATGGGCTGTTTGGACTTCTAGTCTAGACAACTCCACATGGTCCAGGTTAGTGAAAGAACTTGTCTCCAAACAACACACACACACACACACACACACACACACACCCTTAATTTGGATAGCTCCTTAGGAACAGAATAATTCCCCAGGTTATAGTCTACATACACAAAAACTTGCTCACATATGAGAACATAGAGCACAAATATGTCATTTATTAAATGCAAATAGTCTAAATGAATCAATTTTCAAGACTATCGGGGTGCATTACAAGGATGACCCAATTGTAGGCTATCTGGAAGAAACTCACTTCATGCTCATACCCACTTTAAAGGTAAAACCTTGAAGAATATATACTACACAAACATTAGTTCAGTGAAAATCAAAGTGGTATATTAGTAATAGGAGAAGTAATAGGAGAAGTGTACTGCAGATCAAAGAAACTTCTTAGACACACCAAAGCATATCAAGTCTGTAAAGAAAACATGCAGTCCTGAGAGCATATACCAAACAGTAAGGCTACAGTGACACATTCAGAGCTGGTGCTTAAATCAATCTCTCTGTTGAAATTCAAACAATTAGATAAAAGCTTAATAAGGACTTAAGCACTCCCATCACCTGCCCCTAGAAGTGATGCAAGCATGGCTGTTGTGCCACATGTACGTCAGTAGGTGGCAGAGAGGAGTGATGCTATGTCTATGCTCAATGTTCTGATCTATGGACATCTGAATAATTAGCATAATTAGTAGACCACCATTCCCTGAGATGATCACCAGGCCAGTGTTCCGGGGCATGGACAGGGTACTAGACTGAGATGAGTGCCTGATTGATGCTATACAGACCCAGAGAAGCTCCTAGGATGGGGAATCAAGCTAAAAATTTAGAAGAAACCTATCTGGGCCCAGGACAGATGAACCTTGAATGGGGCCACTCAGGCAGGCTAGGAGAGGAGCAAGTCCAAGACAACCACCACATCAGTTCCATGGGGCCCAGCCAGGGAGATGTATGAGATGACCACTAGTCTGGTGTCATACAGGCCTGGGGGGTGTGGATCGTGGAAAACCATACTGAGATGATACCTGCCTAGTGCTATAATGAGTAAGGAGGGCATAGCACTCCTGAGACCACTCAGTAAGAGTATTCCAGACACCCAGAGACACTGGCCACCACTAAGAGGAGCAAGTAAGTTGTGGAGAATGGAAGAGAAAGAGAAACAGAAGGATGTGGGCACAATGAAGAGAGGCAGAACTGGAGACTCGAGGGTAGTAAGGATCAGGCTGATGTGAGTAGCTGATGATGGCACCTGGTGGGGTCCTGGCTTATGCTGCCACTGGGACCATGTGTGGGTCCATGGTCCTGCAGCAGCAGGGGTCTGTTACCGCCAAAGTCCAGGCAGATGTTCCTGGTCTGGGCTGGGATATGTTAATGTCTGAGGGTTATGCAGAACTGTCCCCAGCCCTTACCTGGGCACCATGAGAGAGCTGTTCCTAGGACCATTTCTGTTTGTGCCCTGAACTACTTGTTGCCTGACCCTACCTGCCTTTGGGGGTTTGAAGTGAGGTGATGCCAAATCAATGACACAACTTCTGAGAGCAGATGAGAAATGCTGCTTGCAAGCTCTTCCGAACGCTTCTTTAATACCCCCCACCAGCACTCCCAAGAAAACATCTTTTCTATACAGTAGTTTCTGATTGGCTGACATTGTTTTCATCAGCAGTCTTTGGTCTCTCAGGCAATCCTGAATTAGGTCCTCCTGAGGAGATGCTTTTGTGGCTGTGCAGTGTCCAGCATTTACATAGAAGCGGCCCCGCCTTTCCTGCTACAGGAGCATGAGAGCAGGAGGGCTGATCTGGCCCCTAGACAGCTGCATTATTGAGGAGAGCAGGCCCCATTTACTGTGGGAGTTTCACGTGGGCCAGCTCTGAGAATATCAGTGTGAGAGAGCTGGCCCTACCATGTGGTGGTGTCAATGACGTAGAGATACCCTCTCTCCCCTGAGGTCAGGTCATGAGAGCAGGAGAGCTGTCCCTGCTCCCCACCTGCTGCAGTCTTCCAGAGGGTGGGCCCTGCACCTTACCTAGGGAGCATGATAGAGGTGGCTGGTGGTGGGAATGTAAGTGAGCCAGCCCCAAGGACTTGAGCATGGGGTAGCTGGCCCTGAAACTTGTCTGCCATATGGGCAAAAACGAAATGGCCAATATATCACCCCTTGCCACCTACTGCAGACAAGAGAGCTGATCCTGAACTAATTATAGTGAAAGAGCTGACAACACAGTAGACAACTCCCTGTATGAGGGAGTTGAGGGTGAGTTTGCTCCAGGGCCTGAGTGTGCCTACTTTGTCTCTTTTCTGTTGGACAGTGGTACAGATGAGGGAGAGATGCCATCCTCTCCTCCGTCATTTTTTTTGCCATCTATGGCAAGTGGAAGAGGGTCATGAGGGTAGGAGACCTGGCCACTCTCCTCCCTTTTGCCCTAGCTACCTGTGACAGGCAGGAGAATTGGTGTTGGGTTATGATGGCAGTAGAACTGTCCCTGTTCCACACCTGAAGCAGGACTCAGGAGAGCGGGCACTGTATATCAACTGGGCAGCAGGGTAGAGCTGGCTCTGGTTCCAGTGGGCTGCTGGTGATCTGGCTGCAAGGGCATGAGAAAGGGAGAGCTGGTGGGCTGAACACTTCATATGTTTCTTAGGCCAAGACTAGGTGCTCTAGCTGGCTCACCCCCACATCCACCACATCCTTGAACTGCTGGAGTACATAAAGATTTGGAGTTTTACAGATCTGAATCTGCAGGATCTTCATGACACAGGGCAACAACAGGATATCAGAGGAGTCCTGGTGAGGTTCCAGTATTGGCAGAGTAGCAGAAGCCAGAGGCCTTGTACCAGACCAACAATTGCAATGAGCATTTGCCAGCAAAGAGGTGTGGACAAAGGGTGTGCTGTAGTACACACAGTGTCACATTACTGCTTCCACAACAAGATTGTTTTTTCTGTTGTGGGGCAGGTTGCAAGGGTGGAGGGTTGATATAAGAGGAGGGGAGATGAGTTGGACTGGGGCACATGAGGTGAAATACGTAAAAAAAAAACAATAAAAGAACTCCATCAATTGATAGTATCTAAATTGTTCATTCTCTTCTTGAGTTTTCTGATACAACATTCCAGTTAACAACAGTCTGCACACGATTTGAAAGCATCTATAAAATGTATCCCAGTGAAATCCGAAATCCCGCACAGGCACCTGATCTCACGATCTCCGCGGCCGCTTACTTATCACCCACAATTCCCTCTTCTTTCTCTCTTTTCTAGCTGAGCAAGATGCCCAAAGGAAAGAAGGCCAAGGGGAAGAAGGTGGCCCCAGCCCCCGCCGTTGTCAAGAAGCAGGAGGCCAAAAAGGTGGTCAATCCTCTGTTCGAGAAAAGGCCCAAGAACTTATGCATTGGACAGGACATCCAGCCCAAAAGAGACCTAACACACTTCGTTAAATGGCCCGATACATCAGGCTGCAGTGGCAAACAGCCATCCTCTATAAGTGGCTCAAAGTACCTCCTGCCATTAACCAGTTCACCCAGGCCATGGACAGGCAAACAGCTACTCAGCTGCGTAAGCATGCCCACAAGTACAGGCCAGAGACAAAGCAAGAAAAGAAGCAGAGGCTACTGGCCTGTGCTGAGAAGAAAGCTGCTGGCAAAGAAGACGTCCCAACTAAGAGACCACCTGTCCTCCGAGCAGGAGTCAATACAGTCACCACCTTGGTGGAGAACAAGAAGGCTCAGCTGGTGGTGACTGCCCATGATGTAGATCCCATTGAGCTGGTGGTTTTCCTGCCTGCCCTGTACAGAAAGATGGAGGTGCCCTACTGCATCATCAAGGGAAAGGCCAGGCTGGGTTGCCTGGTCCACAGGAAGACATGCACCACTGTTGGCTTCACACAGGTTAACTCGGAAGACAAAGGTGCTCTGGCTAAGCTGGTGGAAGCTATTAGGACCAATTATAATGACAGATATGACGAGATCTGTCACCACTGTGGAGGCAACGTCCTGGGTCCTAAGTCTGTGGCCCAAATTGCCAAGCTGGAAAAGGCAAAGGCTAAAGAACTCGCCACTAAACTGGGTTAAAAAATAATGTACACTAAGTTTTCTTACATAAATATAATTACAAAATTATCTTCCAAAAAAAGTGTATCCCAACAAAGAAGCAGAGTCCTATGTTTAAAAGAATTGAAATCATAGTGTGTCATCCAACCACAAGGGAAAAAAATAAAAATCAATAACAGAAAATATACAAATCATGGAAATATTCATCAATAATCAACTTATCAAGCACATCACAGAGGAAGACAAGATACACATTGGGCTGAAGGAAAATGAAAACAGAACATAAAAGGTCGGCAACAGAGTGAAGAGAGTACTGTGGAAGAAATGTGTAACCTTAGATGCAGCCATGAGAGAGGAGGACATATGTTAAATAAATAATCTAAGCTTCTATTTCAAGACTCCAGAATGAAGTGTAAAACAAACCAAAGCAAACAGAGAGAAAGAAACAATGTTTTAAAGTTAAAAGAAATGGTAGCAGCTGAGGTGGCTCAGCTCTTAAGAGTCAGGACTGCTCATAGAGAAGGTGGATTTGGGTTTCCAGCGCCCGTACTGGGTGGCTAACAATTGCCCAAACTGAAGCTCCAGGGAATCCAACATCATTTTTACAATGTCATCAGACTCATTTACACACACACACACACACCTAAATAAAAATAACCCAATTTTTAAAAATTAATGACAATTGTAAACTAAAAGCAAAAGCAAAAACCAAACCAAACAACAACAAAACAAAACAAAAACACCTTCAAGGCTTGCAAACCAAAAAGATGCACATTACCAGGAATAATAAGTGGCATTACATGTCTTTCAGAAATAAACAAAAATATTAAAATAATATTCTGGAACACTAAGACTATGAAAAGAGTATTAGATCTTTTCACAGAGAGGAAAATTCAACCTTTGTTGTTATTTTTTAAAACAATCTCAGATTTTATTTTTTAAAAAGTTAAGTACTTACCTATTATTACATGTGAATAATTAGGCATGTTGTCATGATATGTTAAATAACTTTCATCTTAAAATAAACCTTATATAGACCAACATAGAATTCAAGTCTCTTGTTTTATTGTTCTGTCTACATATCCATGGATCAGCATGTTCTGGTTCAATAGGAGAGATAAAAATAGCCCAAATCTTGTAATCTCAATATGATTCAGAGTTTAATAATAAAAATATAATCTGTCCAATTTCTTTATGAAGTCACTCAGAGCTATAAACTACTTTCCTCTTAGCACTGCTTTCATTGTAGCTCAAAATTTTCGTATACTGTGCCTTCATATTTGTTAAATCTAAAAGGTCTTTAAGCTAGACACAGAAGACAAAAGCAGCCATAATGAGGAGCCAGAAGATTAGAACAGATTGCCAGAGTTAGAATGAAGCCAACCAGAGCAATTCAGTCAGAAGTCAAGTTTGAATCAGTCAGACTGGAGAAGAGTTGTGAGCCAGAATAGCAGAGTTGAACCAGTTAACCAAAGTTCATAAAGAACTAGAAAGAGTGAGCTTATTCAGCAGTAAACCTCTGTCAGGACAGTTATACAGGTGAATAAAAGATACTATCACATTTTTCTAACTTCTTCAGTTTATTAAGACAAGATGTACTTTTATAGGTTAGATCTCAGTATCTAAGGCTTGGTCTCTATTTTGTGGCA